GTCCTCCTTGTTGTTACACCACTTGAATATTTGACTGTCACCCTACACAATGATTTAAGTGTAGTTTGAAAGCTGGTTTTACACCCATCTGCTGAACGGGAAAGGTCACTCCCTTTGCATTTCAGTTTGTTGACTTTGTGACAAAACAACTAGTTAATACGCCAACCATGTTACAGTGTGGTATTTACACAAGTGTGGTGTGGACACTTGAACAACCAGGTGCTCATATGCTGAAGATTACAGTGATTGTGGTGCAGAGAGAGTTCTGGAAGGTCTGATAAATGAAGAGGAGACGTTGAGTTACAGAGAAGTAAGCAGAGGTGGGAAGTAACTAAGTACATTTACTCAAGTACTGTACTGAAGAACAATTGTATGCTACTGTGTACTTGTACTCCACTACAGTTCAGAGGTAAAAGGTGTACTTTTACTCCACTACATGTATTTAATACCTTTAGGTACTTCACAGATGTGGATGAATGATGTGAAATATAATCAAGTGTTAAATCAGACTTTAGTTCCACCTGGAGTAAATCCACAAGCTACCCTGCAGTATACAAAGTCATTCAAACTAGCTGCACCTTTACCAGCTTTGAGAACACTTTCATGATCAATCATTATAAAACATATCATATATATTATTCTGAAATGGACCAATCTGCACAATGACTACTTTTACTGTCGCTACTTTCACTATATTTTGATGATAATACTTGTATACTTTCACTTGAGGAACATTTTGAATGCAGGACTTTTACTGTAACAGAGTATTCCTACACTCTGGTACTTCTACTCAAGTACAAGATCTGAGTACTTCTACTTCTACTCAAGTACAAGATCTGAGTACTTCTACTTTTACTACAAGATCTGAGTACTTCTACTTTTACTACAAGATCTGAGTACTTCTACTTTTACTCAAGTACGAGATCTGAGTACTTCTACTTTTACTACAAGATCTGAGTACTTCTACTTTATAATAAAACCACGCACAGATAAACCCAAAACTATTCAGATAAGCTTCCTTTCAAGCTTGTTGGTGTTGCTTAAGTTATGTTTTTGGCTGAGTCTTCTGTTTCCTTTTCCAAAGTTCCTCTACAGCTAAACAAATGGAAACAGATGGAAATGGAAAGACTGGGGCAGGAATAAGGAGTCTTATTCAGGGATTTCTGGCCTCACTTAACTGGAGTGGAGTCAGCACTGGAGTCAGCACAGTGACTGGAGTCAGCACAGTGACTGAAGTCAGCACAGTGACTGAAGTCAGCACAGTGACTGAAGTCAACACAGTGACTGAAGTCAACACAGTGACTGGAGTCAACACAGTGACTGAAGTCAGCACAGTGACTGAAGTCAACACAGTGACTGGAGTCAGCACAGTGACTGAAGTCAGCACAGTGACTGAAGTCAGCACAGTGCCTGAAGTCAGCACAGTGCCTGGAGTCAGCACAGTGACTGGAGTCAGCACAGTGACTGGAGTCAGCACAGTGACTGAAGTCAGCACAGTGACTGGAGTCAGCACAGCGACTGGAGTCAGCACAGTGACTGGAGTCAGCACAGCGACTGGAGTCAGCACAGCGACTGGAGTCAGCACAGCGACTGGAGTCAGCACAGTGACTGGAGTCAGCACAGCGACTGGAGTCAGCACAGTGACTGGAGTCAGCACAGCGACTGGAGTCAGCACAGTGACTGGAGTCAGCACAGTGACTGGAGTCAGCACAGTGACAGAAGTCAGCACAGTGACTGAAGTCAACACAGTGACTGGAGTCAGCACAGCGACTGGAGTCAGCACAGTGACTGGAGTCAGCACAGCGACTGAAGTCAGCACAGCGACTGAAGTCAACACAGTGACTGGAGTCAGCACAGTGACTGGAGTCAGCACAGTGACTGGAGTCAGCACAGCGACTGGAGTCAGCACAGTGACTGGAGTCAACACAGTGACTGGAGTCAGCACAGTGACTGGAGTCAGCACAGTGACTGGAGTCAGCACAGCGACTGGAGTCAGCACAGTGACTGGAGTCAGCACAGCGACTGGAGTCAGCACAGTGACTGGAGTCAGCACAGTGACTGGAGTCAGCACAGCGACTGGAGTCAACACAGTGACTGGAGTCAGCACAGTGACTGGAGTCAGCACAGCGACTGGAGTCAGCACAGTGACTGGAGTCAGCACAGCGACTGGAGTCAGCACAGTGACTGGAGTCAGCACAGCGACAGAAGTCAGCACAGCGACTGAAGTCAGCACAGTGACTGGAGTCAGCACAGTGACTGGAGTCAGCACAGCGACTGAAGTCAACACAGCGACTGGAGTCAACACAGCGACTGGAGTCAGCACAAACGAAACAGACAAAAGCTTTATCAGGTAACAGATGAGACAAAACAGCTAATAAAAAGTGCATCTGTGTGTGTGTGTGCGTGTGCGTGTGCGTGTGCGTGTGCGTGTGCGTGTGCGTGTGTGTGTGTGTGTGTGTGTGAGAGAGAGAGAGAGAGAGAAAGAGAGAGAGAGATGGATAAAGAGAGAAAGAGGGGGATGAAATATCATCCGACTAGAACATGAAGTCATTAAACACAAGAGAAGCTCATACTGGGAAAGAGGTAATGAAACCATTACATCAGTGTGTGTAACTATGTCCAAAGTTAGAGGTATGGATCAGGTATTGGAAGGATTTAAAAGTATTGGAAGGTTTTAAAAGAGTGTTTACCAGTTTGTTTGGGTAGCGTAGCACCACAGGCTGCACTGGGAGTCCTGGTATGAAAGCACCTGAGAAAGAAAGGAGAGGAAGGAGGTGAGAAGAGAGAAAGAAAATGTGATCTTCAATTACTTCTCGCATATATGATAAGCAAATAACATTGTTTTGATGTGATTTTAGGCAGAGATGGCAAAAGTACACACACCCTTTACTCAAGTAGAAGTACAGATACTTGTGTTTAAAAATACTCTGGTGAAAGTAGAAGTACTGACTAAACTTCTTTACTCAAGTCAAAGTAAAGAGGCTTTGAAATGTACTTCAGTAAAAAGTACCCATAACTAGCAGCTGTTTTAAAGAGTACCTGACCTCCCTTTATATTAATAGAACAATAATGTCATTGTTAGCTAATGAATGTTTCCATGCTGAACAACGGCAACATGACAACGTTTTCATTGGTCCCTCTTCTTTAGAGAAGACCAGGAAATGATGGATACACGGATCGTGTTCAAATCAATAGGCACGCAATGACTCTAATGGCGCATTTCCACCACACGGTCGGCCTCGGCCTCGCTCGGTACTGCTAGGCCGCGTTGGGCCTTGTTAGGGCCGGCTCACTTCATGCTGCGCTTCCATTACAGTTTAGGAACTGGGGTAGTTACTATAGTAACGCAGTGTAGGCGGAGCCGTGACGTCATCTTCAATGAGAACCCCAGAAAAACAACACAGCCGTTAGCTGTTAGCACTCAGAGCTCACAGCTCCTCATATATGTTCAGAAACTAGACAAAAGTTAAACAAGTACAAACCACAGACTGCCTGTGTCATGGCGAATACAGTCGCTGCTTTATTTATGTCTGTATAGGCCGTTGTTGTGAGTGTGGACGGTCGGAGCATATATTGCGTTAGCTTAGCCAATCTCCATTTAGAAAACACGCATTTTAAAAGGTTTTTCGCCTGCCGTCTGTCTGCAGACTTGTCAAAGCATTAATTCATGGTTTTTACTAACCGGTATCAGTATGTTGTTACTTCAGCATCATTTTGAAACGTGTATTACAATTAAATCACGGTCAAATATGTTCATCTTGTTGTAGTTGTAGCCCCCTTGCCAGCGATTCTCTCTCTAGTTTAGCAAACTCAGCCCTGTTTGTTGGCCACGATAGAACCACGATTTTGTCGGGCCAGAAAAGAGGTGAAAAAGTACCCCCGGGCCGGAACTAGGCCTAGTGGAAGCGCAACCAAAAACGGGCCCGGCACGACACGGCACGCTTAAACCGCGCTCCGCGCCATGGTGGAAATGCCCCATTAATCACATGTGTCAAACTCAAGGCCCGGGGGCCAAATCAGGCCCTTGGTGGATTTAATTTCGGCCCGCAGGATCATTTCTAATTACTATTAGATCTGGCCCGCCGGTATATTGCACACACACCTTCACTCCATCCTGAGGGTCTCCTCAGCTCAGAGCCTGACCCCAAACATTGATGAACTTGCACCCAAGATGAGATGCCAAGTATCTGGCTTGAACTAGCATCACAGAGCAGCACACTGAGTTTACATGTTTCCTTCTGCACTTTTTCTCTCACGACAACAGGGCATGTTTGGTTTTCTCTTTGAGGGAAATAGTTTTGTTGAAGCTGTTGTTGGCCTGTGGAGAAATGTAATCATAAGAAATGACTCTGGAAAAGCTGCAGATAGAGCCATAAGAAATGAATGCAACTGATTATTTAATGTTTAATGTTGTTTTTATAGGCAATAATTTAAGCTTTGTTAGTTCCAGGTTTAATATGTGCAATAAGTTCATTTCAATACGTTTTGCAATAAACATTGAACCAGTCCGGCCCTCGTCTAGTACCCATTTTTTTATTTTGGCCCACTGTGTATTTGAGTTTGACACCCCTGCTCTAAATAATAATGATCACGCCACCAAACACAGATTCAAACTAAAGGAACCAGCCTGTTTGGAAAATGTAAGAAGTAGAAAGTACAGATATTTGGGTTCAACATGTAAGAAGTAGAAAGTACAGGTATTTGTGTTCAACATGTAAGAAGTAGAAAGTACAGGTATTTGTGTTCAACATGTAAGAAGTAGAAAGTACAGGTATTTGTGTTCAACATGTAAGAAGTAGAAAGTACAGGTATTTGTGTTCAAAATGTAAGAAGTAGAAAGTACAGGTATTTGTGTTCAAAATGTAAGAAGTAGAAAGTACAGGTATTTGTGTTCAAAATGTAAGAAGTCAAAGTAAAAAGTCGTCAGGAAAATAAGTAGTGGAGTAAAGTACTGATACCAGAGAAATGTACTAAAGTACAGTAACGAAGTATTTGTACTTCACTACATCCCACCTCTGGTTTTAGGTGTCTTTACTACAGCAAAGAGACATAAATAGCTGAGTCATGTTCTGGTTTAGATGATTGATCAGTTCACCACCTCAGTATAACTCTTTAATGTCCCTCTGATGACAGAAGAGCTGACAGCAGCATTTACTACTGTGTGTGCTTTGAATGGATGATAATGGGCTTCTTTTTACTAGTGAGCTTAAACCTTAATTGTCTACCTGGGGTCAGTGCTATAAACGGTACAGTTGATACAGCTACGATGGGCAAACGGTTGCACATTTACATATTTGACTGATAGAGCAGCATAACCTTTCATATCTAGTCGTGTTAACGCCTACCTGATGGAGGTGAGTTGAATATTAACTCTTATTCTGGCTTTGTCTTGTTCTCACTAACTCATGTGGGACATATCTGGTTCTTAAACTGCTTAATGCATCTCTATTACCTTTGTTTTGTGCAGCTTTAATTGTCAATTTCGGATTGTGCAAATATCTAATTGCCCTGACATGTTGACTGTGATGAAATGAGAAAACATGTTCATTAATATTATGTGATTTGTAGTAATTGAAAAAATCAGGTGTGCAACTACATACCACAATTTGAAAAAGTAATTTCTAAATTACAAGTAAAAGTTAGAGAATATACTATGCTGATGTTCAGGTGTATATCAGTATGTAGTGTCTCTACTTTAAAGAGTCCTCTCCTGCTGATGTTCAGGTGTATATCAGTATGTAGTGTCTCTACTTTAAAGAGTCCTCTCATGCTGATGTTCAGGTGTATATCAGTATGTAGTGTCTCTACTTTAAAGAGTCCTCTCCTGCTGATGTTCAGGTGTATATCAGTATGTAGTGTCTCTACTTTAAAGAGTCCTCTCCTGCTGATGTTCAGGTGTATATCAGTATGTAGTGTCTCTACTTTAAAGAGTCCTCTCCTGCTGGTGTTCAGGTGTATATCAGTATGTAGTGTCTCTACTTTAAAGAGTCCTCTCCTGCTGATGTTCAGGTGTATATCAGTATGTAGTGTCTCTACTTTAAAGAGTCCTCTCCTGCTGATGTTCAGGTGTATATCAGTATGTAGTGTCTCTACTTTAAAGAGTCCTCTCCTGCTGATGTTCACGTGTATCAGTATGTAGTGTCTCTACTTTAAAGAGTCCTCTCCTGCTGATGTTCAGGTGTATATCAGTATGTAGTGTCTCTACTTTAAAGAGTCCTCTCCTGCTGATGTTCAGGTGTATATCAGTATGTAGTGTCTCTACTTTAAAGAGTCCTCTCCTGCTGATGTTCACGTGTATCAGTATGTAGTGTCTCTACTTTAAAGAGTCCTCTCCTGCTGATGTTCACGTGTATCAGTATGTAGTGTCTCTACTTTAAAGAGTCCTCTCCTGCTGATGTTCACGTGTATCAGTATGTAGTGTCTCTACTTTAAAGAGTCCTCTCCTGCTGGTGTTCACGTGTATCAGTATGTAGTGTCTCTACTTTAAAGAGTCCTCTCCTGCTGATGTTCAGGTGTATAATCAGTATGTAGTGTCTCTACTTTAAAGAGTCCTCTCCTGCTGATGTTCACGTGTATCAGTATGTAGTGTCTCTACTTTAAAGAGTCCTCTCCTGCTGATGTTCAGGTGTATATCAGTATGTAGTGTCTCTACTTTAAAGAGTCCTCTCCTGCTGATGTTCACGTGTATCAGTATGTAGTGTCTCTACTTTAAAGAGTCCTCTCCTGCTGATGTTCAGGTGTATATCAGTATGTAGTGTCTCTACTTTAAAGAGTCCTCTCCTGCTGATGTTCAGGTGTATATCAGTATGTAGTGTCTCTACTTTAAAGAGTCCTCTCCTGCTGATGTTCACGTGTATCAGTATGTAGTGTCTCTACTTTAAAGAGTCCTCTCCTGCTGATGTTCACGTGTATCAGTATGTAGTGTCTCTACTTTAAAGAGTCCTCTCCTGCTGATGTTCACGTGTATCAGTATGTAGTGTCTCTACTTTAAAGAGTCCTCTCCTGCTGATGTTCAGGTGTATATCAGTATGTAGTGTCTCTACTTTAAAGAGTCCTCTCCTGCTGGTGTTCAGGTGTATATCAGTATGTAGTGTCTCTACTTTAAAGAGTCCTCTCCTGCTGATGTTCAGGTGTATATCAGTATGTAGTGTCTCTACTTTAAAGAGTCCTCTCCTGCTGATGTTCAGGTGTATATCAGTATGTAGTGTCTCTACTTTAAAGAGTCCTCTCCTGCTGATGTTCAGGTGTGTATCAGTATGTAGTGTCTCTACTTTAAAGAGTCCTATCCTGCTGGTGTTCAGGTGTATATCAGTATGTAGTGTCTCTACTTTAAAGAGTCCTCTCCTGCTGGTGTTCAGGTGTATATCAGTATGTAGTGTCTCTACTTTAAAGAGTCCTCTCCTGCTGATGTTCAGGTGTATATCAGTATGTAGTGTCCTCTACTTTAAAGAGTCCTCTCCTGCTGATGTTCAGGTGTATATCAGTATGTAGTGTCTCTACTTTAAAGAGTTCTCTCCTGCTGATGTTCAGGTGTATATCAGTATGTAGTGTCTCTACTTTAAAGAGTCCTCTCCTGCTGATGTTCAGGTGTATATCAGTATGTAGTGTCTCTACTTTAAAGAGTCCTCTCCTGCTGATGTTCAGGTGTATATCAGTATGTAGTGTCTCTACTTTAAAGAGTCCTCTCCTGCTGATGTTCAGGTGTATATCAGTATGTAGTGTCTCTACTTTAAAGAGTCCTCTCCTGCTGGTGTTCAGGTGTATATCAGTATGTAGTGTCTCTACTTTAAAGAGTCCTCTCCTGCTGATGTTCAGGTGTATATCAGTATGTAGTGTCTCTACTTTAAAGAGTCCTCTCCTGCTGATGTTCAGGTGTGTATCAGTATGTAGTGTCTCTACTTTAAAGAGTCCTCTCCTGCTGGTGTTCAGGTGTATATCAGTATGTAGTGTCTCTACTTTAAAGAGTCCTCTCCTGCTGATGTTCAGGTGTGTATCAGTATGTAGTGTCTCTACTTTAAAGAGTCCTCTCCTGCTGATGTGCAGGTGTATATCAGTATGTAGTGTCTCTACTTTAAAGAGTCCTCTCCTGCTGGTGTTCAGGTGTATATCAGTATGTAGTGTCTCTACTTTAAAGAGTCCTCTCCTGCTGGTGTTCAGGTGTATATCAGTATGTAGTGTCTCTACTTTAAAGAGTCCTCTCCTGCTGATGTTCAGGTGTATATCAGTATGTAGTGTCTCTACTTTAAAGAGTCCTCTCCTGCTGATGTTCAGGTGTGTATCAGTATGTAGTGTCTCTACTTTAAAGAGTCCTCTCCTGCTGGTGTTCAGGTGTATATCAGTATGTAGTGTCTCTACTTTAAAGAGTCCTCTCCTGCTGATGTTCAGGTGTATCAGTATGTAGTGTCTCTACTTTAAAGAGTCCTCTCCTGCAGAATAACACCTGGATGAAAGGGGTGTAAATACCAATATAATAACTAAGTGCATATGTACATTGGTCTTTAAGACAGGGTGTGGCTAACTCCCGCTGTAACACCTCTAAAGGAGGTGGAGGTAGAAAAACGTGTTAAACAGGAATAACATGAACTCTGAGCTTTTCAAAGAGGAACTGCCATCGTCAAACATGGATACATTTGATATTCAAACAAACAATATTGGCTTCAAATATTGCTCGAGCTGCACATGAGAACATTAAAGTGATCATGAATACAAAGACGGCAAAAATAATGTCACTATAGTGAGGGGTCTGCTCTATTAAAAGGCTTTTAGATTAGGCAAGTCGACTGGAGGTTGCTGCACGTTATACACACACACCCTCTTTGACCACACACAACAACACACACACACACACACACACAACACACACACACACACACACACACACACACACACACACACACACACACACACACACACACACACACACACACACACACACACACACACACACACACACACACACACACACACACACACACACACACACACACACACACACACACACACACACACACACACACACACACCACACACACACACACACACACACACACACACACACACACACACACACACACACACACACACACACACACACACACACACACACACACACACACACACACACACACACACTCTTTGACCAGGTACACACACACACACACACTGTTGTGCTGGGAGCCAGTGATGAGACATAATGAGAGGAGACACATCCAGAGAGGACTGGTAACAGACCGATCAAGCTGGACAAACACACACACATACACACATACACACACACACACACACACACACACACACACACAGTTAGAGCAGGACAGAGTGTGACCAACAGGGCTTACTGGGAATTACAGAATGACAGACTGGAAGAAAGGGGATTAAACAGAGCAGGAAGGGAACAATAGCTGACGGCATCACACACACCGGATGTGAGCAGAAAGACAAAACCCCCCAAAAAGATACCAGTCCTGTTGATGTGCCTCTGAGCAAGAAACTGAACCCAACACTGCTGGGAATGAAATGATCACACAGCTATTTATTAACACACAGACACACCCTTGACTTGAAATTACAAAGAACCACAAACCAAATACTGTGGGTTGGATTATTATTGTGTCCAGCTCACATGTTTTGTTATACGAAAATAACTTCGAGTCCCAGTCAAAACTGAATTTTAAATGCTTCCTAAATGTAGTAATTAACCACAAAAAGACCTTAAAGGTGCCCAACTCTGCACATCTTCAGGCGTATATCCCAGTCTGCTCTGATTGGATAGCTGGCCGGCTCTGTTGTGATTGGTCAACCGCTTGGAAAACATAAATGCATGTGTTTAGTCAAAGGGAAGGGGGGATGTCCGGTGCCTTGCTCAAGGGCACCACGACAGGGCCCAGGAGGTGAACTGGGACCTCTCCAAGTAGCAGTCCACACTCCATATTTTAGGTCTGGTCGGGGACTTGAAGCCGCGACCCTACGGCTCACAGTCCAAGCCCCTACTGACTGAGCCACTGCCCGTAGATGCTAGTTATGGGTACTTTTTACTTCAGTACATTTCGAAGCCCTCTTTACTTTTACTTGAGTTAAGAAGTTTCGTCAGTACTTCTACTTTCACCAGAGTATGTTTAGAATGTGTTTACTTTTGCCATCTCTTGAAATCAGAAGGGGTTTGAACACATACCAGCTTTGTATAAGATGAGCCCAGACCTGTTGGTGCACGTTCCCTCTGGAAATATCATGATCTGAAACAAGTACATGTCACACATCAGGGTACATAAACACACAAAGAGATGCATGTTGATCTCACACATTATCTTAAACCTGACATTAGATCAGTTTGTCTGTGTACAGTAACATGGTTGTTACCTTGGTTTTCTATTTGTGTTGTTTTAAAATGTTGAGAGAGTTTTTCAGTCTGTGGTTTTATTGTCTCGTGCTTTTACATTTGTTTTGTCTAAATGTATTTATGCTGCTTTTTATATATTTATCGATGTAGAGCACTTTGGTCAACTCTAAATGTGCTATATAAATAAAGTTGGATTGATTACCTGAGGCCACTCCCCTCCAGAATTGGCTCTCCTCTTGATCTCCTCCACAGTCTTTCTTCTGGAGGCTTGATCCGAGCGAAACACAAACACCGGCCTGATGTAGCTGATCAGAGCTGGAGGAAGATGAGAGGAGGAAGATTTTAGATGTCAGAGCAAGAGAGGAAACACACAGCAGAGCCAGAGACTGAAAGGAAACCTGGCTGTCAACAACAAGACCTGAGTACTTCTACTTTTTGTTTTATGCATGCTTCTTAGTTAACATTTAGCTGTCTTTGGCTCTTTTCTGCTGTAACAGAAGTAAAGTTCCCCTCTATGGGACGAGTAGAGGTATTCTGATACTGATGGGAAAATCCTGAATGTCCTCTTCCAATATGAGAGTAACATGATAACAAAGGTATCCCAACTGTAGCTGTGTGCATGACAGGATGTATGATTACCTAGAAGAGCATCAGGACTGTTTGAGGCATATGATAGCTATGTGATTAACATGATGATTCAGCCTCTATGGAGATAGACATATCACAAGCATGATCATTTCTGACGTGGAGCTAATCTGAAGTAAACATTGAATACTGCTTTCTATTCCTCCATCTTGTGACTGTGTAACTCCCTCTCTTGGATATCAGCATGTGAAGGACACTGTTCAGGAACTAGTTGATGCTCTGGATGTGATGACTACTTCCATTCTGGAGAGGATCACAAATGCATGGATCCTGAGATTGAAGTTGAACCCGGGGACGAGTGATTATTAACATTTTTAAGTATTCAGAAAAAGTCAGAATATTGAGATTTTTGAGAAAAAAGTCAGATTTTTGAGGAAAAAAAAGTCAGATTTTTGAGGAAAAAAAGTCAGATTTTTTAGAAAAAGTCAGAATTTTCAGATTGTGAGAAAAAATCAGAATTTTGAGAAAAAATCGGAATTTTGAGAAAAAGTCAGAATTTTGAGAAAAAGTCAGAATTTTGAGAAAAAGTCAGAATTTTGAGATTTCTTGAAAAAAGCCAACATTTTTAGATAAAACTCAGTATTTGGTTCATGACAGGATGTATGAAGAACCGGTATTCCTCCATCTTGTGACTGTGTATCTCCCTCTCTTGGATATCAGCATGTGAAGGACACTGTTCAGGAACTAGTTGATGCTCTGTATGTGATGACTACTTCCATTCTGGAGAGGATCAGAAATACATGGATCCTGAGATTGAAGATCAAGCCGGTGACCAGGGAGATTTTTCTAACAGATTCTGATTCTGAAAATGGAGAATCACTCACTTCCCCAGACGGGAATGCTCCTGCTCTCCAGTTTGGTAACGATGGAGCACATGTTCATGGTGACTGGGATGGCATCAAAGTAAGAGGAGTGAGGGGCCATTGTGAGAATTGGAACTTCTGAAGGTTTCGCTCGCTCTCCTTTCACTTTTATCCAATGGAAACCTACACAAAACCACAAGGCCCGCATGATGGCTCGAAGACAGACATCTACAAACCTGAGGAGCACATAATAATGTATAAAGAAAGCGTAATTAGACAGTATGAAGTAGACTTTTGATTGTGTTCTGGTTTTATGTTTCAGTATTTGTAAGCAACTGTGACTGAAAGAATATTGCTTTTATTTTACTTTTTATGGTTATTTCATTTTTAGAATATTATATGTAGCCGTGTATTGTATTTGTAACTCTGGCACAACAATTTCCTTCGAGATAAATAAAGTCCTATCTTATCTTATCTTATGGATGTTCTTTAAAAAATTCAGGTTTTTAATATGTCATAGTGTAATTTAAACACTTTATATATACACACACAACACACACACACACACACACAAACCTTCTCCACCACGACTGAGGCTCCATGATATAATCGGAGCGTCCCATGGAGGCTATGAAGGCGAACGGCCAGGCCAGAAACATGAGGGAGGAAACGAGAAGCAGCCGAACGGGAAACACTGTGACCGACATCAGGAAAATCTGTAGAGAGAGAGACAGATATTGTTGGGAAAATCCTGAATGTCCTCTTCCAACATGAGAGTAACATGATAACAAAGGTATCCCAACTGCAGCTGTGTACATGACAGGATGTATGATTACCTAGAAGAGCATCAGGACTGTTTTAGGCATATGATAGCTACTGCTTTATGTTCCTCCATCTTGTGACTGTGTAACTCCCTCTCTTGGATATCAGCATGTGAAGGACACTGTTCAGGAACTAGTTGATGCTCTGTATGTGAGGACTACTTCCATTCTGGAGAGGATCACAGATACATGGATCCTGAGATTGAAGCTCAAACTATCCCCATGCAAACTGCACTTTTTGATGTCTTTTATACATCAATATTGGCGCGTTTCCACTACACGGCCTCGCTCGGCCCCGCTCGGTATGGCTAGGCCTCGTTAGGACTGGCTCACTTTATGGCGCATTTCCATTACAGTTTAGGAACTGGGGCAGTATCTATAGTAACGCAGTGTAGGCGGAGCCGTGACGTCATCTTCAATGAGAACCCCAGAAAAACAACACAGCCGTTAGCTGTTAGCACTCAGAGCTCACAGCTCCTCATATATGTTCAGAAACTAGACACAAGTTAAACAAGTACAAACCACAGACTGTCTGTGTCATGGCGAATACAGTCGCTGCTTTATTTATGTCTGTATAGGCCGTTGTTGTGAGTGTGGACAGTCGGAGCATATACTGCGTTAGCTTAGCCAATCTCCATTTAGAACACACGCATTTTAAAAGGTTTTCGCCTGCCGTCTGTCTGCAGACTTGACAAAGCATTAATTCATGGTTTTTACTAACCGGTATCAGTATGTTGTTACTTCGGCATCATTTTGAAACGTGTATTACAATTAAATCACGGTCAAATATGTCCATCTTGTTGTAGTTGTAGCCCCCTTGCCAGCGATGCTCTCTCTAGTTTAGCATACTCAGCCCGACTCAGCCTCGTTGTCTCTGGCCCTAGACCCACGATTTTATGAGGCCAGAAAAACTGTGAATTAGGACCCGCCGGCCGGTACTAGGCCAAGTGGAAACGCAACCAAAGACGGGCCGCTGACGTCACAGCCCTCTTAAACCGTGCTCCGCGCTGTAGTGGAAACGCGCCATATGTGTCCCCGGTGCGTCAGGGAACTCACAAAGTATCAGAAAACAAAACCCTCTCTCTTTTCCTCCGTACCCAAATCTCTAAAAACGGGGGAACAACGGAGCTGATCCAGATTTGCGTCCGATATGACGTAATATCTGAAATGTGGGCGGGCTTTAGACCCACGGCCCTATCAGAAACGTTGCTATCGGAAACAATGCATGATATGGCGTTTCATCACGGCAGCATTTAGCCGAGTTTCTTTTCTTTTTTTTAAAGCTACTGACCCAGAATCATCACTTTAGTAACAGGACTGAAACAGAGGGATATAAGGGATGTCTAAAATGCATTATCTGTTTGGTATTTTGAGCAAAACACTTCATACACATGTTTTTTATATATTTGTATATATCTGAGACCTATAATATATGCCTAAAATGGTATAATAGGAGACCTTTAATGTTCTTAGTTCTGCAGAGAGAGAGAGACAGATATTGAAGAGCACATTGTGATCATTCCACTTCACCTACTACACACACACCATCCTTCAACATCTCTACAGCATTCAGTACATTCCTATTAGAGGAGGGGGTGTGTCCACAGGAAGTAACAGCAGGATCTAATCACACACTGGTTATACTGGTTAGGGACTGCAGCTAAACCCCTGGAGCTAACAGCCTTAAAGGTCACCTATTATACAAAATCCACTCATCATGTCTCTTCTACATCAACATGTGTCCCCTCTGTGTAAAGAGTGTCCCATGTTCATGTTCATGTTTGGCCTAGAGCGAATACCTTGCTGTTAAAAGGTCTTTCTTTAATGTGCAACAACTGTATTTAAAGGTCACCTATGATGCAAAATCCTCTTCTTCATGTCTCTTCTACATCAACATGTGTCCCCTCTTCTTCATGTCTCTTCTACATCAACATGTGTCCCCTCTTCCTCATGTCTCTTCTACATCAACATGTGTCCCCTCTTCTTCATGTCTCTTCTACATCAACATGTGTCCCCTCTTCTTCATGTCTCTTCTACATCAACATGTGTCCCCTCTTCTTCATGTCTCTTCTTCATCAACATGTGTGCCCTCTTCTTCATGTCTCTTCTACATCAACATGTGTCCCCTCTTCTTCATGTCTCTTCTACATCAACATGTGTCCCCTCTTCTTCATGTCTCTTCTTCATCAACATGTGTGCCCTCTTCTTCATGTCTCTTCTACATCAACATGTGTCCCCTCTTCTTCATGTCTCTTCTACATCAACATGTGTCCCCTCTTCTTCATGTCTCTTCTACATCAACATGTGTCCCCTCTTCTTCATGTCTCTTCTACATCAACATGTGTCCCCTCTTCTCCATGTCTCTTCTACATCAAGATGTGTCCCCTCTTCTTCATGTCTCTTCTACATCAACATGTGTCCCCTCTTCTTCATGTCTCTACTACATCAACATGTGTCCCCTCTTCTTCATGTCTCTTCTACATCAACATGTGTCCCCTCTTCTTCATGTCTCTTCTACATCAACATGTGTCCCCTCTTCTTCATGTCTCTTCTACATCAACATGTGTCCCCTCTTCTTCATGTCTCTTCTACATCAACATGTGTCCCCTCTGTGGAAAGAGACTCTGAAAGTTTCAGGAACAAAGATTCTCTCTCTTTTTTGTCCTGATCCATTTCTATAAAAACCTGTCTGAAAATGAGCTGATCAGATTTTGGCCACTTTATGATGTCATAACGATTTTTTTGGCTTGTGTAACCATTAGCCAATCAGCAACCAAGGTAACCCCCCCCCCGCTGCTGCAGATACATGCTTTACAACATCAGGAGGATACGTCCCCTCCTGACCCAGAAAGTGACGCAGCTTCTGGTCCAGGCTCTCGTCATCTCACGCCTTGACTACTGCAACTCCCTCCTGGCTGGTCTACCTGCATGTGCCATCCGTCCTCTGCAGCTCATCCAGAATGCAGCGGCTTGTCTGGTCTTCAACCTTCCTAAATGTTCCCACACCACACCGCTCCTCCGCTCACTTCACTGGCTTCCAGTAACGGCTAGAATCCACTGCAAGACACTGGTACTAGCGTACCATGCTGTGAATGGATCTAGCCCTTCCTACATTCAGGACATGGTTAAACTGTACACCCCAGCACGTGCACTCCGCTCTGCATCGGCCAAACGGCTCGCTGCACCCGCACTGCGAGGGGGACCCAAGTTCCCATCAGCAAAAACACGTGGGTTTGCTATCCTGGCTCCAAAATGGTGGAATGAGCTCCCCATTGACATCAGGACAGCAGAAAGCTTACACATCTTCCAGAGCAGACTGAAAACTCATCTCTTTCGACTCCACTTCGAGCAATAAAATGAAAAAAAAGAATAAAAACGCACTTAGATACTAACTAAGCACTTACATACTAACAAAGGACCGGCTTATCTAAAGCCAGTTGAGTAGCACTTGAAATGGTTTGTTTGTGTGTGTGTGTGAGTGTGAGTGTGAGTGTGAGTGTGAGTGTGAGTGTGTGTGTGTGTGTGTGTGTGTGTACTCACAGGGTCACAAAGTCACAGCCTTCAGTGTTAATTCAGGCTGAGTGACATTTTAAGCCCCCTCCTACCCCTTTTCCTCCTCTGTTTCCTCTCTTTCATCTGCCTGTTTTACAGTAAATCCATTAATCTATCTATCCATCCATCCATCTATCCATCCATCCATCCATCCATCTATCATCTATCCATCCACCATCTATCTATCCTATCCATCATCCATCCTCATCCATCATCCATCTATCCATCTATCCATCCATCCATCTATCTATCTATCCATCCATCCATCTATCTATCCATCCATCCATCCATCCATCCATCTATCCAGCCATCCATCCATCCATCCATCCATCCATCCATCCATCCATCCATCTATCCATCCATCTATCCATCCATCTATCTATCTATCTATCCATCATCCATCCATCTATCTATCTATCTATCCATCCATCCATCCATCCATCCATCATCTATCTATCCATCCATCTATCTATCCATCCATCCATCCATCCATCTATCTATCTATCTATCTATCCATCCATCCATCTATCTATCTATCCATCCATCTATCCATCTATCCATCTATCTATCTATCCATCCATCCATCTAACAGTATGGAGCTCAAACTCTTTTTCTCTCTCAGGTTGACCACAAGGTGAGTTCCTTTCTTTACACATACTCTCTCAAGTACAGGTTAGCGATGCTTGCTAATGTAAACACAGACCATATTACATCCAAAACACGTTGCGCATTGTTTCTGATAGCAACGTTTCTGATAGGGCCGTGGGTGTAAAGCCCGCCCACATTTGAGATATTACGTCATATCGGACAAAAATCTGGATCAGCTCCGTTGTTCCCCCGTTTTAAGAGATTTGGGTACGGAGGAAAAGAGAGATGACAGACTTCATTTATCACGCTGCGCTACCTTCAAATGTTTCCCCCTACTTTGCATTGATGTGCTTTTCGTGTCCACTCTGGGGAATCGTATCCATCCCCTCCCCCCGTTTCTCCCATCTTTCCCTTCGTGGTTTTCTCTCCAGAGGATCCCAGGTGCACTCTGCAGGGCTGTATTAATAAATAAACAGTATGGGGGAGATTTATGATGCTTTAACGCCTCCCACCCCACACACACTCATCATCATCACTAACTAATCCATCTGGGAGGATCCGCTGACATTTCCTCAGGAGGAGGCAGGGAAATCTCAGTGTTTTTATGAAAGCGCCGGCCCTTATACTTCCGATTATGAACTATTGTGATGTTGTCTACCAAAATGCACGATCTTGCTCCACTTAACACAGCCTATAATAGGCTATGCAGATTTGTTCTTGGTTGCTGTTGGGAAAATACTGAATGTCCTCTTCCA